AAAAAAAAAAAAAAAAAAACCTTTCTGTTTCATTTTAATTTATATATTAATAGGAAGGTGAGGACAAAAGCGAGCACTTTCAAACTAGTGAAGGATTGTCTATTTGTCTACCATTTTCTGTTTTCACTAGTACGCCCGTGCGATGCACGGGACATAAATATTAAATGAGTCATTTCCATAGAGTTTGTCTGTTAAGTAGCTCGTGTGATTCACGGGAGATATTAAATGAGTGGACAATAGGGCTTGTCAGTTAAGGCCTAAAAAAGTAATAGAGTTTGATCAATTATTTTTTTACCTATTTCATCAACGTCATCTTTTTTGTCGAGACATTAAACCTGAGCCTGGTAGTGGTAGCGCTAGACCGTAAATTAATTAATAGATTATCTCGCTCACATGTTTATAATAATATAAATTTAATTTCATTATATATAGTTATTTCTTGGTATAAGAAAATTAACAATTTTACGTAATCTTGTTCCTCGTATAATACTCATATTATTTTATTATAAAATTTATTGTAATAACATGATGAACCAATATATTATTATAAATAATATTTTAACATATATATTTATTTTTTAATACAAAATAATAATAATTTTACATATTTTGGTTCATCATAATACTCAATTATTAATCTATCAAAAAATCTATTATCATATAATGTCATTATTATTTATAACACTTGTAGAAGTAATATATTTTTTATATAATGATAAATATGTAATGTATATTAATATTATTTAGTGATGTAATTAATTTAAAAAGATATAAGCAAATTTAATGTTAGGTAGGAACGTGATTATATGTAAGTTGAGATAAAATAAAATGTATTAAAAGAAATCTGCTTATGATATTTTCCTTTAAATGTTTGAATGAATTTGAAATTCAAATTACAAATCAACCTCCAGTTATTCAAATAAATTTAAAGAAGTTACCAATTGTAGTAAAATGTACGTGACAATATATTATAAATATACATGATGTCAGTAATGTTATGAATCTTTAAGTTCCTAAAATATATATTGTTTAGATATGAAACTAATTAACTTATATGTTAAGATAATATATACAAATATATGTATTGTACGAAATATACACGTGACAAGTTCTTATATTTGTTTATATATTGTTTGTATATTTGTTTGTATTGTTTATTATATTTGTATATAAATATATTGTTTATATATTTGTCTGTATTGTACGATAAATTATTATATTTGTTTATATATTGTTTAAATATATATTGTTGAGATATGAAACTAATTAACCTATATGTTAAGATAATATATATAAATATATGTATTGTATGACATCTTTAACGTGTTTGTTAAATTTTTTCTCTAAAAAATTCAAAATACATTTAGGCATGTTTTGTTTGAAGTTTGAAATTTAAATATGCATCTATATAACAAATCTATAATTTGTGCTAACATTAAATGCTACTTGATTTTTTATTAAAAAATTAAAAAAATATACCAAAAATGAAATGCAATTAATATTCTCTATTTTTTTGCTTACTATTTTTGAAAAATGTTAATTCTTATTATATATAAATAGATTAAAATCTTTTTATTATATTTATTTTTTTTAAATAAAATAAATAAATTAATTAATTAAATAAATAAAATATTATAATACCAAAATAGTAATGGCATTTAAGTAAATGTAGTAAATAGAATCTCCTTTTATATAATTATAGATTGTATAATACGGAAATAGTAATGCAATAAATGTTGTTGACTTTTCTTTATACTAAATCTGGTAAATAGTATAGCTTTTAATATAAGTATAGATTTAAAAATGGACAGAGAATAATCAAAGTATAAAAAAATATAGAAAAACAATTTAAGTATAAAAAGAAAGAGAATAATTAATAGAAAAAAGTAATATATTAATATATTGTTAAGGAGATCTGATAGACAATAATATTAGACAATACATGATTTGTTAATTTTCTCTTTAAAGGAACACATACCTGTATGTAACTGGAGGCAGTATAATTTAACAGATACACATAGAACAAAACTAACAGTCAAGTACAATTCATGAACAACTTTAATGGTGACATTTTATGCTATATATTTTTTCTCAGCAAGTGCTTGATTAAAATTACATCCAACAGAACTAAGCAGATGAAGTTCTCCTTCATCATCACCAGCGGAAAAAAAATCATCTAAAGGGCGTTTAGCCCAGCAAGAAATTAGGTTCATACCAAAACAAAAAAAAAAAAAAAAAAAAATATCAAGCTAAAAACTTAAAATCTGCTTAATATGCTTTAGCTAATCCCACAGTACCTCTTATATCATCAAAATCGAGTTTGTGTTTCAAATACGATTTGTTACCATTGCGCGCAACCTTTCCATGGCTCCTCGTATTTGTTCCGATATTGAGGCGTACAGATATCTTTGGGCTGCCTCATCCAGCCCGCAAATGGTTGTGGGCCACCCCTGATGAGGGTATGATAAATCCCTTGACATTTTTATGGCTTTCTGTTTCAGTTTATTGACGTCAAATGAAAGTGGTTCGCCAATGAGTATACTTATGTCTTTCTTACACAAAGGAACGGGAGGCTTTTTACCGAACATAAATTTCTCTGGCATAACCTGAACAGCACAATATACACAGTTATAGACATAAACTGAATAAATTGCATTTGGAAGTGATATGGATGTTGACAACTTCTCGGATCTCGATTTCAGCTATAGCCCAGAAGAAGTTGCTTATTGTACATAGCATTTCATTTTTGTCTCTAAATGATTGAGCATATCAATTTACTATGAAGATCTTGTATGCAAGTGGACGTGAATTCGCATTTTATCCGTTTATATCCCAAAACGGTAATAATTTATGAAAGACCTCAGAAGTAAAGTTATTCAATACTTTCGACTATTTTTTTGGTCAGTCGCCAATAACCTCAAACTCATTTTTAAAGAGGAAAATAAATGAACAAATATTCCACATTTTCCCACAAATTCCACTTATCCTCCACCTACATAATTCTAACAACTAATGAATAATCATATTTTAAAAACTCTTGGGATTAATTCTTCTTATTTTGATTTATTTATACCATGCTTAAAATATTTATTCAAGGCGTACCTTCTGCTACATTTTGTCCATTGCAAATGGAGCTAGAAGAGTCATTGTTGACAATTCTCCTGGCATAGTGCTAATAATGGACTAGATCAAAATGACTCAATTAAATTCTAGTGCTTCTTCTATTAGTGAAGTTTCTAGAAAAAAAAAATATATCAAATGGCGCAATGCACCTTGGGTCGCTACGGAAACAACCTCCTTGTATAATTACAAGGGTAAGGTCTGCGTACAACTGACCCCCCAGACCCCAACCTGTTGGGAATATCCTGGGTATGTTGTTGTTGTTGTTGTTGTTGCACCTTCTGCTACATTCTTCACCCTATTATATAATTCATTTAAGAAAAATTTAAGAAAATTACTCAAGTCCTATCCAGTTCAATCCCCATATTGTTGTTAAATTCTGTGGGAAATTTTCATCATACATTATTGAAAAGCTTTTGTCTGATTAATTGGTGGCCTAATCTTTGCAAACCTACCACATCACACTCCTGTAAACCACACATCATCTGAC